TCTTTTTTTACTTCACTTTAGGGCAATATATCTGGCTCGTGTTTATCATCGTGTTATATTTTGTCCATGCCATGCACTCTGGCATGATTTCGTCCATGTCATGCACTCTGGCATGATTTTGTCCATGCCATGCACTCTGGCATGATTTCGTCCATGCCATGCACTCTGGCATGATTTTGTCCATGCCATCCACTCTGGCATGATTTTGTCCATGCTATGCACTCTGGCATGATTTTGTCCATGCTATGCACTCTGGCATGATTTTGTCCATGCTATGCACTCTGGCATGATTTTGTCCATGCCATGCACTCTGGCATGATTTTGTCCATGCTATGCACTCTGGCATTATTTTGTCCATGCCATGCACTCTGGCATGATTTTGTCCATGCTATGCACTCTGTGGCTTGGTTTTGTCCATGCTATGCACTCTGTGACTCGGTTTTGTCCATGCTATGCACTCTGTGGCTCGGTTTTATCCATGCTATGCACTCTGTGGCTCGGTTTTGTCCATGCTATGCACTCTGTGGCTTGGTTTTGTCCATGCTATGCACTCTGTGGCTTGGTTTTATCCATGCTATGCACTCTGTGGCTCGGTTTTGTCCATGCTATGCACTCTGTGGCTTGGTTTTGTCCATGCTACGCACTCTTGTGACTTGGGTTTCAAGCATAACAGAGAATACGTCCAAGTGGCCCTTGAAGCCTCTGCACCTGGAAGCAATTCATCATTCATCTTGATGAGCTGCCGGCAGTGAGTGAGGGGCTCGAACCTGAGCCCAGGTTCATCAGACTCACGCGCGTGCGAGTCCGTGTTTGTAGAGTAAACAAGACACGGTATAGGAGTTGGCACGTGACCGGCCGTGCCTTCTCACTTCTGGAACCCAGCAGCACGTATCCACACACACACACACACACACACACACACACACACACACACACACACGCACGCACGCACGCACGCACGCACGCACACACACACACACACACACACACACACCACACACACACACACACACACACAGGAAGTGATGTGGTGGAGGCTGACTCCATACACAGTTTCAAGTGTAGATATGATAGAGCCCAATAGGCTCAGGAATCTGTACACCAGTTGATTGACAGTTGAGAGGCGAGACCAAAGAGCCAAAGCTCAACCCCAGCAAGCATAAAGAGGCGAGTACACACACACACACACACACACACAACACACACCACACACACACACACACACACACACACACACACACACACACACACACACACACACACACACCTGTAGGAACGTGTACACCTGTTGATTGACGGTTGAGAGGCGGGACCAAAGAGCCAAAGCTCAACCCCAGCAAGCATAAAGAGGCGAGTACACACACACACACACACACACACACACACACACACACACACACACACACACACACACACACACACACACACAGGTTGTGGAAGCAAATACTATTCATACTTTTAAAACTAGATATGATAGGGAAATGGGACAGGAGTCATTGCTGTAAACAACCGATAGCTGGAAAGGCGGGATCCTGCAAGCACAAATAGCTGAGTACAAATAGGTGAGTACACACACACACAATCTTGCGTCTACTAACACCTGTTAACATGTCCATGGGAGGTGCCTCTCCAGCGAACCTACAAGAACTATAGTATCTTTTTTGTGTTTGGCTTCACCTCTTGGCCGTCGACACTATATTGGGTCGTAGTTTTGATCGCTGGCTGTGTTCGCTTGCCCAATATGAGAACAGCAGACCTGTCCCACGACTCCTCGGACAAAAACTAGTTCCCTGGTTCAAGTGTGCAATGCAAGCACAGCCTCGTAGCCTGCTTGGCGAATACAAAATCTGAAACACACACACACACACACACACACACACACACACACACACACACACACACACACACACACACACACACACATACACACAATCTAGCTAAGAGACACCTTTGAAAAAATGAGTTAAGCTAACTTTGAGCCACATTCAAGCAGGATAAAGGTCTTACTGATTGAAAATGGAAACATATCTCTTCTGAAACGGCGATCAGAGACATATTACCTGCTCGTATCGGCGTGTGTGTGTGTGTGTTCTCGCCTATTTATGCTTGCTGGGGTTGAGCTTTGGCTCTTTGGTCCCGCCTCTCAACTGTCAATCAACTAGTGTACAGATTCCTGAGCCTACTGGGCTCTATCATATCTACGTTTGAAACTGTGTATGGAGTCAGCCTCCACCACATCACTTCCTGTGTGTGTGTGTGTGTGTGTGTGTGTGTGCGTGTGTGGCGTGCTCTAGGACCGGGACATGGGGCCTGAAGGTAAGGCAAAGTCCACCAGTCTATTAACTTACCAGTTTATAAACGTACAGTTCAGGAGCGCCTTTGGGGGTGTGTGGCAGCGACTGAAAACTTCTGTATTCGCAATATGTGACACTGAAGCGGATTTTGTATCCTCCCTGTAACTGTAATTTACAATTACTGTAATTTACAGCTACTGTCATCTTTTGTCGTCCATTTTTGGTGGGCAATCCTGTCCCTCCTGGACACCCGTCTCTTTCCTCTTCGCCCTTACAACTGAAGTCTTTTGAACTGAAGCTCAGAAGAGACTCCTGTAACTCACAAGAGACTCACGAGTCTCTTCTGCGTTACAGGAGTCTCTTCTGAGCTTCAGGAGTCTCTTCTGAGCTTCAGGAGTCTCTTCTGAGCTTCAGGAGTCTCTTCTGAGCTTCAGGAGTCTCTTCTGAGCTTCAGGAGTCTCTTCTGAGCTTCAGGAGTCTCTTCTGAGTTACAGGAGTCTCTTGTGAGCTTCAGGAGTCTTTTCTGAGCTTCAGGAGTCTCTTTTGAGCTTCAGGAGTCTCTTTTGAGCTTCAGGAGTCTCTTCTGAGCTACAGTAGTCTCTTCTGAGCTTCAGGAGTCTCTTCTGAGCTCCAGGAGTCTCTTCTGAGCTTCAGGAGTCTCTTGTGAGCTTCAGGAGTCTCTTGTGAGCTTCAGGAGTCTCTTGTGAGCTTCAGGAGTCTCTTGTGAGCTTCAGGAGTCTCTTGTGAGCTTCAGGAGTCTCTTGTGAGCTTCAGGAGTCTCTTGTGAGTTTCAGGAGTCTCTTCTGAGCTACAGGAGTCTCTTCTGAGCTTCAGGAGTCTCTCCTGAGCTTCAGGCGTCTCTCCTGAGCTTCAGGAGTCTCTTCTGAGCTTCAGGAGTCTCTTCTGAGCTTCAGGAGTCTCTTCTGAGCTTCAGGAGTCTCTTCTGAGCTTCAGGTGTCTCTTCTGAGCTACAGGAGTCTCTTCTGAGCTTCAGGAGTCTCTTCTGAGCTTCAGGAGTCTCTTCTGAGCTTCAGGAGTCTCTTCTGAGCTACAGGAGTCTCTTCTGAGCTACAGGATTCTCTTCTGAGCTTCAGGAGTCTCTTCTAAGCTCTTCTTCTTTGGAGTATGAATTACTGACTTAGTTATGTTAGGTTTGGATTGGTTGGGTTAGGGAGGTTAGGTTAGGTAGGTTAGGTGACATTGTGTTGGTTGGAAACCAGCTCTCAGATTACTGCTGGGTGAACAGGGGCGCGGCCAGTTATAAGCATGTTGGCGCCCAGTCAATCCTCCCTATCCAAGGCTCGACATTTAAGACGAAATCGCCAGTGTGGACGAAATGTTCCGCCTCGACTCCACCAACGGTGTGATTTCTGGCATGGTTCGTCCACTTTTGGGAGAGAGAGAGAGAGAGAGAGAGAGAGAGAGAGAGAGAGAGAGAGAGAGAGAGAAAAAAATGTGGATCTACTGCCTCTATAAATCGTCTTAGCTCTTCAATGACAGCAATTTCGTCCGGTAATCTGAACGCGTCTTAGAGCTGTCGTCTCCTTGCGCTCTGGTTAAGCAATCCGGAACGTCTTTGTCGCGTTCTTCACACACATCTCGTTGTCGTTTTCCGTTAGATGCTCCCCCATCTTCTCCCTCCCCATCTTCTCCTTTTTCCTTAATCTTGGCTCAGATACTTAGGATTTAACTGTCGTTTTGCTGACTGGTGTTTTTAGCTATCGTCTACTCGGCTTTGCTGAGTCTTTCATGATTCGTGTAGGCATTTCTGAGGGAGTGAGTCAGTCAGTCAGCCAGCCAGCCAGCCAGCCAGCCAGCCAGCCAGCCAGCCAGCCTGCCAGCCAGCCTGCCAGCCAGCCAGCCAGCCAGCCAGCCAGCCAGCCAGCCAGCCAGCAAACATAACTTACTACACAGATAATATCCTCACTAATATACCCAAGTATTCACCTTTCACCAAGAGTGTAAACAAGACACAAAAACAGCTGTTTACACCGGCCGCGACGATAGCCGTAAAAAACAGCTGTTTACACCTGCCTTAACGATAACTGTAAACAATTGACTTGAGAGACGAGCACAGGGGAGAAGGCGCCTCACAGCTGTAACCAACACCTGACTGTGCTGTCAGGTGTTATTAAGCTTCCGTGAACATGTGTGTGTGAGTGTGGGGGTGATTGTGCCGTGTTGGAGGGAGTCCCACAATCAGCGCAGATGGTCGCATGTAACGGGGGGGGGGGGGGGTGTTTTACGCAATGTTTCTTTTTCGTAATAATTTCGTTAAATGAACAAATCCACAAGGGCCGTGACGAGGATTCGAACCTGCGTCCGGATTTGTTCATTTGATGCATCACGTTAGTGTGATCTCTGTGTGTAATAATTTCGTTGTTTTTCCCTATAGCTGCTTTGCTCTCACTGATAAACTATGCGGTGTAGATGAGTAGAGGACAGGAGGGGGGGGTAGTTGTGACATGATCCCTACGTGAAAGATCCCTTCCTGTAATGTTGCTGTGCTCCGTGGAGTTGTGAGTCCGCTACTGTTTTATGCTCTGTTGAGGCAGCTTCTGCTGTTACAAACAGAAATCACCATTGCGTGATGCATCAAATGAACCAATCCACGAGGGCCGGTTAAGGCAGCGTCTGGGATGCTATCGGACGCAGGTTCGAATCCTCGTCACGGCCCTGCCTTAACAAATCCACAAGGGCCGATTA